CCGGTGGGATGGTGTTTTGAGCAACTTGGTCTAGTGGAAGGTGTCCCTGCTTATGGCAGGGAGGTTGGACTAGATGATCTTTAAAGGTCCCTTCTGACCCAAACCATTCTGTGGTTCTATGATGGTGTGATTAGCTGATTTTTGTTCTTGGAAGAGCCAGGACTGAGGTACACCATGTCTTCTCCAATGCCTTTTCAAAGAGGAAACCTCCAGTTCCCATCTCTTGACTCACCAGCAAAGCTCACGGGCCAGGCTGGTCTGAGGCAGAACCAGATGAAAGCCTAAGTGCTATTTACCTGTACTGGGAGGCTCCAGTTCTGAGACATGCAATGACATCCCACTGTTGATTCCTTTTGCAAACAAACAAGCAAACAAAAAAGGAAGTGGAAAAGAGAACTGACCTATCTCATACCACAGATACTTTTGCTGCCGCATCACGCTGCGCAGGGCCTGCACACCCCGCTTCCTTCTTACTTGAGTGCTGCACCCCCACATGGGGATGGGGCCACATTTGTAGGGAAGCCACATCATGGCCGGGAAGAGCCATGAAACAGGCACTCAAGTCTTTGCGTGCTCTTGGCCTGGACTTGTGTTAATGCAGTTACTGGGGTGAGCAGGTAGGAACAAGAGAAAGTGGTGTGGTGCATTGAATCTCGGGTGCCATATCAAGGGGACAAATGGATTACTGATTACAGGTCTGAAGAGATCCTAACGGTTTCATGTATCGAAAGAGGATGAAATGTGTTGATCTTACAGCTGCCTCCTCTGGGCAATGCAACTTTTAGCCAGTTCTGCAATGCAGTGCCACATGTGTTCTTGTTAATTACTGCTAATTGAGGCAGAAAGTGATCTAAATATGTTTGCCTATGGACTCCCTTATTATTATTGGAGAACAGAGTTTTCAAAGGACCTAAACATTGTGGGAACACATATACCACAGACATTCAATAAAAAATGATGCTTTCAAGTCACTGCGCTGCTTCTGAAAATCCTGTTCGTAGATCTTTAGGATACAGCTGCGGCAGGGGATGATGGTTACACCTGAAAGCCCTCCCATGCCCACTGCAACTGTTCACAAGTAGAGATGCAGAGAGGATCGTCTGTGTTGCAGGCTTGTGGAGAACACACAGAGAGCAGGCAGCCCGGCAGCTCCCCCTCACTGCCTGTTACAAGCTGTTGCTTTGTGGGACCAAGATGACCATGCGGAACAGAGGCACGGATCTGCCTCTGTCTGCATAGAAATCTTTGCTAATGAATGTATGCACATGCAAACATAACAAAAAGTAACAAGCTGTAAGTTATTGGGCATCTCCCATTGGTGGTTAACATATCCATTCATAGATGAAGCCAAACTGAACATGGCCAGGTGCTGTCCTCTTAGCTGGGAAAAACGGGATCTTGAAGGAAGGTTCCTCTTTCTCTGCCTTAACAGGAGTTACTATCATTTATAGTGTTAGCACTATGCTACTTGTACATTAATCCTCACTGGCTTTTATAGGTGCTCCTTATCAGAGTATGTATTTTTGGCAAGACAATGAAGCCACCCTAGTTTTGTAGTAAAGCCAATAGCGGTTTCATTTAAATAAGCTAAAAATATCCCCTAAAAATCCTATATATCAGCAAAAAGATTTCCAAGAGCTGCAGCCATGATCAAAAATAAGACTTTAGGGTTTGCATTGCCCGTGGATGAGTGATGAAATCAATGTGTCTCAGCCTATGGTAAGACACAGGCCTGTGTTAGCCTAAGCAGGGCTACGACAAAGCTTTGGCAGTGTTTCTGGTGCCTGTGGCAGTTCTTTTAGCTGTGGTGCCAGTGCCTGTGAGGCAGCTCACACTATACAGGGAAAGAAAGTCAACCCAGAAACAAAATTAAAATCTCTTAAAACTGCCAACTGTCCCAGTCTTCCTGTTTGGGCAGCAATATCGACTTCTCATAGGTAAACTGTACCTTTGCCTCCTGCGTTTATCAACAGCTCCTGAGGCCCCCAACGAGAACTGCCAGGGAAAAGTGACAGGATAGAAGTGCCTAAATACCTGTTCCAATCTAGGCCTAAATAACTACCAAAAGCAATAAATAAAGTGCATCTAAACAAGTGTCTTAGTATCAGATTTATGTAAGTATCAGGTGTTGAAGCATATGTTCTCTATGATACCTAGGAAACCAATCTTATTTAGCTCAGTCTCCCAAACAACAGAACATTATCAATCTCAGTGCCAACTTATTTACTTGTAATGCAGCCGAGTGGCTGATAGAGGCAGGGTAAAACTGTTCCCACAGTGAACCACTCCCACACCAGTATCTCTGCACGGACACCAGAGAAGGCAGCATGTCCAAGCTATGGACCGTGAGGAGAGATCCAGTGCCTGCCCCTCCTTCCCAGTGCAGTGGAACTTTATCTCTGCACGGACACCAGAGAAGGCAGCTTGTCCAAGCTATGGACCGTGAGGCGAGATCCAGTGCTTGCCCCTCCTTCCCAGTGCAGTGGAACTAGATGCATGTCAATACGCTTGGAGAGGATGCACCTTGTTACTTTTACAGTTAAACGACAAATTTCTGTGAAGATAGTGCATTTGTTTCAGGGTTAACATGCAGTACTTAATCTACATACCACTTTTTAGACAGTAGGGTTACTAAGCTCAGGCCTGCTTTAGGTATTTGAGGAACTATTGTTACAGGCATTGTTTTCTGCAGGTTCTCTCTGTTGTGGCTTTTTTTTTACCAGCCAGTTGCTGCAGTTCAGAAAACAGACTAAACCCCACGCATTTCCACAGGCAGTGGGATTAACAAGCCTGGCTTCCAATGGACCTGTGTCCTGCAGTCCAGGTGCCCCAGTGCAATAAACACCCCTCACGGAGTCATCAGCTCTTGCTCCCTGTGACTTCTCACTATACCATCATTCCCCATCTGCCTGGCTGCGCATGGTTAGGTGCATCAGTTGTGCAACCACAGATTCTTGGAATACAAGACAATGGTTAATGTCCAAGAGTTACCATTAATTCAGATTTCTCTCTTATCCCAACTGATTTGGATTGCTGATCTTTATGAGATCGAAAGGAACTTCCCATCTTTAAGATTACTATCCATCCGTCAAATTTAGCTGAAAGCAGTCAAGTAGGTTTTGAATTTATTGGAGAGAAGTTGTATAAATAATATTGAAAGTCTTATTTCTGTGAAGAGGATAACGGCAAGCTTACCAAGTTGTACAGTGTCTGTCAGGGACTGTAACCAAGTTCTTTCGGTGAATACTCAAAGCTGTTATATACAGAAGTGAGAATTAACAGAGGAAGTATGGGCAGATAGTGTACTGCAATGGCATTTCTGTCGCCATCTCTGTTAATCAGAATCAGTTAAAATATTAAATGGGAGCAAAGTCAGAAGTGTGGAAGCTAGAGTAAAGATCCTACGTGTCTCTCCTTGGAGGCTGTGGGATAAAGCCACAAAGATCTTAAAGTCTTTAAAGGAGGTCGAAATTTAAGAACCTCATCTGTGTGAGGAACCTCATCCTTGTGGGCTCCAGAGAGGACAAAGGAGACTACTGACCGTGCTCCAGTTTTGTTTACATCTTAAGTCATTTGCAGTTAGCATTTAGAGGTTAGCAAGCTGTTTTTGAAAAAAGGCTCTCCTCTCTTTACAGGGTCCTTGCCATCTCCTGATGCCTGCAGCCTATCGAAGATGAGATGTATACAGCGGGATGGATTTTTCTCATTTGGAAGATTGCCAAAAAATACAGTTTATGTACTCTGATGTGCCTTCATTTGCTTTGTGCTAGCA